GTGTGTGTGTGAGCGCGTGCGCAGTTCTGTCGGGGTGTGTGTGTGTGTGAGCGCGTGCGCAGTTCTGTCGGGGTGTGTGAGCGCGTGTGCAGTTCTGTCGGGGTGTGTGTGTGTGTGAGCGCGTGCGCAGTTCTTTCGGGGTGTGTGTGTGTGAGCGCGTGCGCAGTTCTTTCGGGGTGTGTGTGTGTGAGCGCGTGCGCAGTTCTGTCGGGGTGTGTGTGTGTGAGCGCGTGTGCAGTTCTGTTGGGGTGTGTGTGTGTGTGAGCGCGTGCGCAGTTCTGTCGGGGGGTGTGTGTGTGTGAGCGCGTGCGCAGTTCTGTCAGGGTGTGTGTGTGAGCGCGTGCGCAGTTCTGTCAGGGTGTGTGTGTAGCTCTGTGTGAATGGGTTTTAATGCTCCGTTGTGTCTCTGTTTGAATGTGCCTGATGACACTGCCTCTCCTTGCAGGAGCAGGTCGGTCTGATTAAGGAGAAGTATGATCACCGGATGCTGCTGAAGCACATGCCGTCTGAGTTCCACAGCTTCCTGGATCATGTCTCCACGTTAGATTATTTCACCAAACCAGATTACCAGGTACACTGAAGCAGCCAGCTTGCTCTGTATTCCCCACACTGACTCTGCGTCTTCCCAGACCCGAGGTGAAACAGCTTGATCACCCAACATCTCCCAAAATCCAGCCCCGTATCTCCTGGGGATAGAGGGTGTGCAGCATGCAGGGTATTAGAGAGGCGGGGTGCTCATACTGAGTGTGAGAGGGAGAGGGAGGGTGGGTCTTGGGGGGGGGAGGGGGAGGGAGGGTCGTACTGAGTGTTGGAGATTTGACATTCCTCATGTCCACGTTCCTGCCCTTTCCCTGTAATCCTTGATTCCCGACTGATTGAGATTCTATCGATCTCAGCCTTAAACATGCACAAGGACTCCGCCCCCACACAACCCCCCCACCCCAGCTCTCTGTGGCAAGGAATTCCAAAGACTTTCAACCCTCAGAGAGAAGAAATTCCCATTATCTCAGTCTTAAATTGGTGCCCCTTTACTCCGAGACTATGCCCTCTGGTCCTAGACTTTCCCATGAGAGGAAACATCCTCTCAGCATTTACCCTGTCAAGCCCCTTAAGAATCTGAGATGTTTTAATGAGATCATCTCTCATTCTTTTAAACCCCAGGGAGTAGAGCCCCAACCTGTCTTTGCTCATAAAGACAATCCCTCCCATCCAGGGATCATCCCAGTGCACCTTCTCTGAACTGCCTCCAATGAAATTATATTTTTCCTTAAATAATGGGACGAAAACTGCGCACAGTATTTCAGATGTGGTCTCCCCAGCACCTTGTACAGTTGCTGTAAAACTTCCCTGCTCTTATACTCCAACCCCCTTGAAATAAGGGCCAACATTCCCTGCACCTTCCTGATTACCTGCTGTACCTGTGTACTAGCTTTCTGGGTTTTGTGCACAAACATCCCCCAAATCCCTTTATGCTGCAGCTTTCTGCAGTTTCTCCCCATTTAAGTAACACTGTTCTTTTGCTCGCCCTTCCAAAATGAACAACTTCACATTTTCCCTCATTATACCCCATTTGCCAATGTTTTGTCCACTACTTAAACTATCAGTACCTCTTTGCATCCCTCTCACAACCTGCCTTTCCGCCTGTTTTTGTGTTCTCTGTAAATTTGGTGACAGTACATTTACTTCCTTCCTCCCAGTCATTCATATATGTTATAAACAGCTGTGGTCCCAGCATTGATCCCTGTAGAACCCACTGGTTATAGGTCACCAACCTGACAAAGATCCCCTTATCCCCACTCGCTGTTTCCTGCCCATGAGCCAATTCTCTATCCAGTGTCTCCAATGCTGTGGGCTCTTATGACTTAACCTTTTCTGAGGTACCTTGTTGAACACCTTCTGGAATTCCAAATACAACACATCCACTGGTTCCCCTCCATCCACTCTGTCTGAGACTTCCTCAAAAAACTCTAATAAATTAGTCAGTCACAATTTCTCTTTCATAAAAATAAGTATTTTAGGAGCCTAAGATACAAACATTCAGTGTCAGGGGACTTGTCTGTCTTTAGCTGTATTAGTTTATCAGCTATTACTTCTCTAGTGATGGTGTTGAGACTTAATTCCTCCCCTTCAGTGTTAATAGGATGTGTCAAATATCTTCCACTGTAAAGACTGATTCACAAGATCAGTTTAACTCCTCTGCCATTTCCTTGCTCCCTATAACTGTCTCACCAGATTCATTTTCTAAGTAGCCTATGTTCACTTTGACCACTCTCTCCTTTTTTATATATTTAAAGAAGCTCTTACTGTCTGTTTTTATATGACGGCAAACTAATGAGGAATAGTTTAATTTCTCTGTCATTATTTTGAGTTTCCTTTGCCTGTTTCTAAATTTATCCCAGTCTTTGAGGCTGTCACTGACTTTTGTCTCCTTTTGTTTTCAATTTAACGCTCACCTTAACTTGTTTAATTATTGTTGGCTTATCCCTCTCTCAGAATTTTAAAATGATTTTAGTGGCTCTGAGGGGTATTAATGGCCTCACAGCATTGTTGGTAGACATTAATCCAGAGACCCCAAGGTAATATTCTTGGTACTAGGGTTCCACAGCGGATGGTGAGATTTTGAATTCGATAAAAACCTGGAATTAAGAGTCGAATGATGACCGTGAAACCATTCTCGATTGTCGAGAAAAACCCATTAGGTTCACTAATGTCCTACATGTGACTCCAGACCCACAGCAATGGTTGACTCTCAACTGGCCTCTGAACCAATAGGGATGGGTAATAAATGCTGGCCCAGTCAGCATCACCCTCATCCTGTGAATGTAATTAAAAAACAGCATTTTTCCTGTGACTGGCTAAGTGGCCTGGAGTTCCCGGTTCACTCTTGCTTTTCCTTCTAGAATTGCAGCTTTGTATTTGCTAACTGAGAATCCCATCAAATTGGGAGTGATCAGAAGTGTGAGGGTGGAAGGAATGAGGAGCAGCAGAGTTAACAGGATTCATTAATGCTTACTGTCTTATTAGGTGTCCGTAACTGAGTTCCTCACTCACACTCAGCTGTTCTTCTCCAGCCTTTCCAGACTGTCTCCTGCTGTGAGGACAGGTATAAAATGTGACATAGCCCTGGTTAGGAAGGAGTGGTCGTCTGTTCTGAAGTGTAGCGGGATGGGGGGGGGGAGTGGGCAGGGGACGGGGGGGGGAGGGCGGGGGAGGTTGGCTGTGGACGGCAGGCTGTAAGAACAGGGTTTGGGAACTGTGGCTCATCTGGCTCTGCACTGATTGTCCTTCTCTCTCTCCCCCCGACTTCCCTCTCACCCCCCCAATGCAGCTGATCATGTCTGTCTTGGAGAACAGCAGTAAAGAGCGGAACATCACAGAGAACGAGGCCTTTGACTGGGAGAAGGGTGGCACTGATATTTTACTGTCGACCAGCACACCCACTCAGGCCCAGCTCCATACCAAGCAGACAGCTGCCATGTTTGGGTGAGTCCACACCGGCCCCAGGGTTGGGAGGGTGTGTAGGTGTCTCGCTCCCTGTTTCAGTGGGAAGGGTAGTGTCGGTATCAGAGGAGTGAGGGATGGTGGCATGTCTTCATGTGGGCCAGGTTAGAATCATGGAATCCAAACAGTGCAGAAAGAGGCCATTCAGCCCACTGAGTCTACACCGATCCTCCAAACAGCATCTCAGCCAGAACCCCTGCCCAATCCCTACAACCCTGCATTTCCCATGTCTAATCCACCTAACCCACACATTTCTGGACACTACGGGACAATTTAGCATGGCCAATACACCTAACCTGCACATCTTTGGACTCTGTCTCCCAGCCCCTCAGTTCCCCGCTCTCCCAGTTTCCCTCCCCATTCCAGTCTCCCCCTTTCTTGGTCTCCAGTCCCTGCTCCACTAGTCCTGGGGTTTCCAGGCCTCTGGCCTGGCAGCCTGTATGCCCTAGGGCGGTGCTGATCAGCAGCTGGTAATCTGTTCCTGTTTCAGGGTGATCAATGTGACCCCGGTACCAGGTGATGTGCTCCGGGAGAACACGGATGATGTCCTACAGGATGAGCATCTGAGTGACCAGGAGAATGCTCCCCCAATCTTACCCAGTAAACCAGCTGACATGACTGCAGTGCCACCAAACCTGGTCTTTGAAACAGAGGTCTGGGATGAGACAGATATCAACCGCAACAAACTGCGCATCAGCATCAGCAAGGTAACTGGGAGGAGGGGGATATGTCGGGGGGGAGCGTGTCGGTGGGGGAGAAATGGGGGGAGCGTGTCGGAGGGAGGGAGGGACTTGGTGGTGATGGTGGGACTTGTCAGGAGGACGGAGGAGTGGGACTGGGTGACGTGTCGGTGGGTAATGGGGGGGACAGGGGGTCTTTTCAGGAGGGGAGTCAGGTGGACTTGTCGGTGGGGTGGTACGAGGGTACATGCTTGGTGGGGGAGTGGGGTGATGTGTTGGGGGAATGCGGGTTATTGGGGAAGACAGTCAGAGAATCATACAGCATGGAAACAGACCCATTGGTCCAACTTGTCCACACCAACCAAGTTTCCCAAACTAAATGAGATTCATTTGCCTGCATTTGGCCTATATCCCTCTAAATCTTTCTTGTTCATTCCAAAGGTCTTAAATGTTGTATCTGTACCTGCATCTACCACTTCCTCTGGCAGTTCATTCCCTACACACACTAAAACTGGCCCCCTAGGTCCCTTTTAAATTTTTCCCCTCTCACCTTAAAACTGTGCCCCTCTAGTTTTGAATTCCCATTCCCTGTGGAAAAGACCTTTGCTATTCACCTGAGAAGGAGAGGTTGGATAAACTGGGTTTGTATTCACTGGAATACAGGAGATTGAGGGGCGACCTGATAGAAGTTTATAAGATTGTGAATGGCACGGATAGAGTGGAAAGTATGAGGCTTTTTCCCAGGGTGGAGGGGTTAATTACTCAGGGACACAGGTTCGAGGTTGGGTGGGTTGTCAAAGTTTAAAAGAGATGCGCGAGGCACGTGTTTCTCACAAAGGGTGGTGAGTGCCTGGAACGTGCTGCCGGAGGAGGTGGTGGAAGGAAACATAGTAGCAGCATTCGAGAAACACTTGGATGAATACATGAATAGGAAGGGGATAGAGGGATACGGATCCTGTAAGTGAAGACAGTTTTAGTGTGGAAGGGCAAAATGTGTCAGTGCAGGCTTGGAGGGCTGAAGGGCCTGTTCCTGTGCTGTATTGTTCTTTGTTCCAATCTACGCCCCTCATGATTTTATAAACCATGATCAGGTCATCTCTCAACCTCCTAATCTGCAGTGAATGAAGTCCCAGCCTATCCAGCCTCTCCTCATAACTCAAACCTTCCATTCCCGGCAACATCCTGGTAAATCTATTCTGAACCCTCTCCAGTTTAATAATAGCCTTCCTAGGGGAAATCATAGAATCCCTACAGTGAGGAAGCAGGCCATTCAGCCCATTGAGTCCACACCAACCTGCCGAAGAGCATCCAACTGAGACCTGCACCCATACCCAATCCCTGTAACCCTGCATTTCCCATGGCCAATCCACCGAACCTGCGCACTGCGGACTGTGGGAGGAAACCCACGCAGACACGGGGAGAACGTGCAAACTCCACACAGACAGTCGCCTGAGGGTGGAATCGAACCTGGGTCCCTGGTGCTGCGAGGCAGCAATGCTAACCGCTGAGCCACCACAGTCGGGGATGCTAGGAGAGATGGGGGATTTTAGTGGGTGCAGGGAATGGGGGATGTCAGGGAAGGTCTCTTGGGAGGGATGGGGCATTATGGGGCTGTCCAGCTGTAAGCACAAAGAAAGAACAAAGAACACCTATTTTCCAAGGATCTGTATCCCTCTGCTCCCTGCCCATTCATGTATCTGTCGAGATACATCTTAAATTACGCTATCGTGCCCGCCTCTACCACCTCCGCTGGCAACGCGTTCCAGGCACCCACCACCCTCTGCGTAAAAAACTTTCCACGCATATCTCCCTTAAACTTTTCCCCTCTCACCTTGAAATCGTGACCCCCTAGTAATTGAGTCCCCCACTCTGGGGGAAAATGTTTCTTGCTATCCACCCTGTCTATACCCCTCATGGTTTTGTAGACCTCAATCAGGTCCCCCCTCAACCTCCGTCTTTCTAATGTAAATAATCCTAATCTACTCAACCTCTCTTCATAGCTAGCGCCCTCCATACCAGGCAACATCCTGGTGAATCTCCTCTGCACCCTCTAAAAAGCATCCACGTCCTTTTGGTAATGTGGCGACCAGAACTGTACGCAGTATTCCAAATGTCATCGAACCAAAGTCCTATACAACTGTAACATGACCTGCCAACTCTTATACTCAATACCCCATCCGATGAATGAAAGCATGCCGTATGCCTTCTTGACCACTCTATCGACCTGCGTTGCCACCTTCAGGGTACAATGGACCTGAACACCCAGATCCCTCTGTGCATCAATTTTCCCCAGGGCTTTTCCATTTACCGTATAGTTCGCTCTTGAATTGGATCTTCCAAAATGCATCACCTCGCATTTGCCTGGATTGAACTCCATCTGCCATTTCTCCGCCCAACTCTCCAATCTATCTATATTCTGCTGCATTCTCCGACAGTCCCCTTCACGATCTGCTACTCCACCAATCTTAGTGTCATCTGCAAACTTGCTAATCAGACCATCTATACCTTCCTCCAGATCATTTATGTATATCACAAACAACAGTGGTCCCAACACGGATCCCTGTGGAATACCACTGGTCACAGTTCTCCATTTTGAGAAACTCCCTTCCACTACAACTCTCTGTCTCCTGTTGCCCAGCCAGTTCTCTATCCATCTAGCTAGTACACCCTGGACCCCATGCGACTTCACTTTCTCCATCAGCCTACCATGGGGAACCTTATCAAATGCCTTACTGAAGTCCATGCATATGACATCTACAGCCCTTCCTTCATCTATCAACTTTGTCACTTCTTCAAAGAATTCTACCATGTTGGTAAGACATGACCTTCCCTGCACAAAACCATGCTACCTATCACTAATAAGCCCATTTTCTTCCAAATGTAAATAGATCCTATCCCTCAGTATCTTCTCCAGTAGCTTCCCCACCACTGACGTCAGGCTCACTGGTCTATAATTACCTGGATTATCCTTTCTAACCTTCTTAAACAAGGGGACAACATTAGCAATTCTCCAGTCCTCCGGGACCTCACCCACGCTCAAGGATGCTGCAAAGCTATGTTAAGGCGCCAGCTATTTCCTCTCTCGCTTCCCTCAGTAACCTGGGATAGATCCCATCTGGACCTGGGGACTTGTCCACCCTAATGTCTTTTAGAATACCCAACACATCCCCCCCCCCCACCTTATGCCGACCTGACCGAGAGTAATCAAACATCTATCCCTAACCTCAACATCCGTCATGTCCGTCTCCTCGGATTTTCCTTAACCCTGTTTGCTAAAGATATTTCATGACCCCTTTTAGCCCTCTTAATTCCTTGTCTCAGATTGGTCCTACTTTCCCGATTTT